GTGCGTTGAAAAAAGCCGCTGCAGCCGTTGCAGGCGTAGATGCCGTAGTGCTTCCCGCTGCTGGTGTCCCCACACACCTTGCACAGCAGCACGGGGCTCAGCGCCTTGCCGGGCGCCGGGCTCAGCCCTGCAGGAGCAGAGCCACCACAGTCAGGGTGACTCAGGACACCCCCATGTCCCTCATCCCTCCCACCAGTTCCCCATCCACCCCCCCCCAGCTCACTGGTCCAGCCCAGGGACACGGATGGGAACACCCCGGGGACTGCAGGGATCAGACATGGGCTTCAGCTTCTCCCTGTGCCCTGTTTTAGAAGGGGGTGAAAAGTTGTCCCTAGGGATGGGGATACCAGGTATCACAGAGAAGGGCCACAACCATGGACTGGGGGTGGCTTGGAGAAGGGCGACTGGTGGGGACACTGGAAATTCCATCAAGGAGCCAAGGGCATCCCAGAAAAGGGTCACAGCCAGGGACCATGAGGACCCTGCAGCATCCAGGGCCCATGGGCAGCCAGGAGAGGGGTGTGGGTGGGGCAGGCATCCCAAAGAAGGGCCACAGCTAGGGATCTCAGGCATCCAGAAGGACCCTGATGGACCATCACGGAGAGTTTTGGGGCTGGGGACTGCAAGCATCCTGGCCCAGAGAAGGACCATGATGGAGACTCTCAGCAGTGTGGAGAAGGGTGATAGCTGAAGACCCAAGGCATCTAGGAGAAGGATCACAATGGTGGAGAAGAACCATAATGAAGACCCCCAGGCATCCCAGATAAGGACTATGATGGTGACTCCCACCTGGTGAAGGCCTACAATGAGACCCCTAGGAGTCTTGGTGAAGGACTATGATGGGACCCCAGGTATCTAATAGAAGCACCATGATGGGGACACCAGCCACCTTGGAGAAATTTTGTGATGGGAACCCCAACCATCCTGCAGAAAGACTATGAGGGAGACCTGGGGTACTTTGGAGAAGGACCACAATGAGGACACTGACCATCCTGAAGACAGACCCCACCAGTGCCCACAATCCCATCTCACACCCTCTTGAGCAGAACACCAGCTCTTACCCGTGGGGCTGTCACCCAGCCCAGCGCTCACCACCGACCCCGCCGGCGACGCAGTCATCCCACACGTGATGGTCTTCACCTCTCCCTCTGCCGTGGTGAGAGCTCCAGGCTCTGCTGGGGTGGTCAGTGGGTGCTCCAGAATATGGCAAGATGGTTGGTGGGTGCCCCAGGCTCTGCTGGGGTGGTCAGTGGGTGCTCCAGACTATGGTGTGATGGATAGTGGGTGCTCCAGGCTCCAGTGTGGTGGTGGGTGGGTGCTCCAGACTATGGTGTGATGGTTAGTGGGTGCTCCAGGCTCCAGTGTGGTGGTGGGTGGGTGCTCCAGACTATGGTGTGATGGTTGGTGGGTGCTCCAGGCTTTGATGAGGCGGTGGGTGGGTGCTCCAGACTATGGTGTGATGGTTGGTGGGTGCTCCAGGCTTTGATGAGGCGGTGGGTGGGTGCTCCAGACTATGGTGTGATGGTTGGTGGGTGCTCCAGGCTCTGGTGAGGCAGTGGGTGGGTGCCCTGGCAGCTCTGTGGGCCGTGGGGCTCCTGCCCTGCTCTCTCCGAGGCAGCTCCGCAGCAGGAGCCGTGTGA